AAAAAAAAAAAAACTCCTAGCAAAATGGAATAAAATGAAAATTCATCAAACTGATAACAGGTTTCCAAGGAATCCTTCAGGAAATCTCATACTTTATGATGAAACATTGCACATTTCCCTTCTAAGATAAGGAACAAGGCAAGTCTGTCTACTTTTATCAATCCTATTTAAGAATGTACAAGTCCCATATAAGACAATAAGGCAAAAGAAAAAGATAAAAGCATAAAGATGAAAAAGAAAGAAGCAAAACCTTTTGATTCACAAGTAATAGGATTCTGCATAGAATCTACAAAAATATCATCAGACCTAATGTATGAATAAACAAGTTTACAAGATACAAGTTCAATATAAAATTATTGTATACATAAATACTAGAAGAAAAGCATCGGAAAATGACATTAAATACTCTCATTTACATAAATACAAAAAATGAAATACTTTGGAATAAATTTAATGAAAGATCTCGACAATGAACACAACAAAATATAGCCCAAAATGGCCTAAACAAAACCTAAATATAAACCGATAATTAATATGAAGATCATATATTGGAATGCTGGATATTGAAGATGACCATTCTTCCTAAAAAGATATATATTCACCCTAAGCGAGAATCATACCCCTAGACCAACCAGCCACAATAAAAGATATATATTCAAAGAGTTCCCAATCAATATCCCACCAGAGTTTTTTGTAGAATTTGACAAAATGACTCTAAGATCTACAGGGAAATAAAAGTGCCTAAAATTGTTCAAGCAATTTTGAAAAACAAGAAAAAAGTTGGCAGACTTATGTTACCTATTTTCAGGACTTATAAAGATTCAGTATTCATGACTGTTGTATTTGTAAAAGGATAGACCTACAGAATAACAAAACAATAGAAAAAACAAAAGTAGGCCCGCTTATAGTCCACTGATTTTTATCAAAGATGCCAAAGCAATTCAATAGAAAATGGAATGTGTACACTTTTCAAAGGAAGACATATGTGAGGCTAACAAACATATAAAATGCTCATCATCACTGGTCATTAGAGAAATGTAACTCAAAACCACATTGAGATACCATCTCATGCCAGTTAGAATGGCGATCATTAAAAAATCTGGAGGCAACAAATGTTGGAGAGGATGCGGAGAAACAAACACTTTTACACTGTTGATGGGAGTGTAAATTAGTTCAATCATTGTGGAAGACAGTGTGGCGATTCCTCAAGGACCTAGAAATAGAAATTCCATTTGACCTAGCAATCCCATTACTGGGCATATATCCAAAGGATTATAAATCATTCTACTATGAAGACACATGCACGCGTACATTCATTGCAGCATTGTTTACAATAGCAAAGACCTGGAACCAACCCAAATGCCCATCGATGACAGACTGAACAAGAATAATGTGGCACATATACACCATGGAATACTATGCAGCCACAAAAAATGATGAGTTTGTTTCCTTTGTAAGGGCATGGATGAATCTAGAAACCATCATTCTCAGCAAACTGACACAAGAACAGGAAATCAAATACTGCATGTTCTCACTCATAGGCAGGTGTTGAGCAATGAGAACACATGGGCACAGGGAGGGGAGCATCACACACTGGGGTCTATTGGGGGGGACTAGGGAAGGGACAGTGGAAGGTGGGGAGGTTGGGGAGAGATAATATGGGGAGAAATGCCAGATATATGTGATGGGGATGGAGGCAGCAAACCACATTGCCATGTGTGCACCTATCCAACAATCCCGCATGATCTGCACATGTACCCCAGAACCTAAAGTACAATTAAAAAAAAGAAAAAGAAAAAGAAAAAGGAATGTGTTTCAGCAAATGGTTCTGGATACTCACAGGGGAATAAAACCATCAACACCATTCACAAAAGTCAACTTAAAATAAATAATAAACCTTTAGAAGCTAGAACTGTAAAGTATCAAGAAGAAAATATAAGAGATCTCTGCAACTTTTATGTAGACAAAGATATCCTAGAAGGGACATAAAAATCTTCAAAAAAAATAAATGAGAAACATTTACACTCATCAAAAGATACTATTAAGACGAGTAGGCAAGGAACCCATTTGGATAAATATTTCACAATACACGTATCTGACAAAGAACTCACATGAAGAATATGTGAAAAAAACTCCTACAAATGTTCAATAAAAAAGACAACCAACTTTCAATACTGGGCAAGAAACTTAAACACTTCACAAAAGAATTTATACAAATAGTTAACTTACACATGAAAATGAACTCAATATAATTATTCTTCAGGGAAATGAAAATTAAAAACACATAGATACTGTTTCACACCCGCCAGAATGACTAAAACCCAAAAGGCAAACCAAAATGTTGGTGTGGGTATGGAGTAAGTGGAATTCTCAAACATGCTGGCTGGTATAAAGTATTACAAGCACCTTGAAGAAACTTTCAAAACATCATACACATAATTTTTGACCAAATGCCCCACCAGTTAGTACCAAAATACTCAACTACTAAGTATTTTTATCCAAGATGAATTTTTAAGCAAGAGAAATCTTTAAGTTCACAAGATGGATTTTTAACCAATAAAGATCTTTCATTCATAGCACATTTATGGTATTTGAATTCATATATCATATGCTGGAAATGACCTAAAACAACATAAAAATCTATGAATATTTGAATGTATGCACAATTGATCCATGCAACAATATAGATTAATCTCAAATGTATTATGCTGAAGAAACCAAGAACAAATTATAATATATCGTTCATTTATATGACATTCAACAACAGGCAAAACTAATATATGGTAATAAAATCAGAAAGTAATTGCCTCTGGGAGAGGTTAATTGATGAAAATAGGCTCAAAAAGATGTTCTAGAGTGATGGAACTATTTGGTGTCAAACTTTTATTTACGGAGTCAAAGAAGACTGAGGTATAGGTAATTTTGAATAATGGCCTTAGAAAGGTAAGGAAGCTATTAGGACATATTTGGTATTTTACAGTTTAGAACATTTTTTCATATTGCAATACATTATTCTGCTCATATAGAAGCAATTCAATATTTCTTTGAAAAACAAGAAAAAGAACAGAGATAAATTTGATTCCCTATCTTTCCCCTATGATCCATCAACCTGTCTGTCTTGTCTGTCTATCTATCTCTTTGAAAGCACAAATGCATTTGAGCAAATTACAATTTAAGTAGAAGCTATACGGAAAAAAATGAAAATAAATTTTGGATAATACAATAAACATAAAAAGGGAAATAATTTTGAAAAAATGAGCATTATTTTAAAGCGTTCATAGTTGAATCCCAATAGAACAGAGGAAATTGCTGAAGTTTTGAGTATCTAGAAAAAAACAATGAAATGTATGTTTGAAGAATATTATTAAGGCATCAGTATCCTAAGAATAATCAAGGAGAGAGAGACCATATATTTTTTTCAGGAAAATTGAAGAGCCACAGCACCGCAGGGATCCCTTGACCATGATGGCTATGCGGTCACCCAGAACATCAGCTTCATCCATGTAGTGGGTGGTCAATAGGATGGTACGATCCTGTTTAAAATGCTGCAGGAGATCCCAGGTGACCCTTCTTGAGACTGGGTCCATGCCAGACGTTGGCTCATCAAGTATCACTACCTGAAGAGCAGAAACACAAACGACCATTGCTAAATATTATATACCGATACGACTATTGTCTTTCCAGTCATGGAGCTTACTCTAATTTCGGTTTTTCACTTGTTCAACTAGGCTGAATAGTAAGTTTAGAGGCCAAGTGTAGTGGCTCACACCTGTAATCTTAGCACTTTTGGAGGCTGAGGTGGGAGGATGACTAGAGCCCAAAAGTTAGAGCAACATAGCCCTGCCCTTACAAAAACATAAAAAATTAGCTGGGTATGGTGGCATGTGTCTGCAGTCCCAGCTACTTGCAAGGCTGATGGGGGAGGATTGCCTGAGTCAGGTAGGTCAAGGCTACTTTAAGCCATGATCATGCCACTGCACTCCAGCCTGGGTGACAGAGCAAGACCCTGTCTCAAAAAAAAGTTTAGAAAAAACTGAATTAGGAATGGTGGAATAATTTCAAACCTATAGCCACTTTATACCAACAAGATTGATAATGTGAATTCCATATGATTTTCATTTAGGAGGCTATCTTTAGAATGTTAGCTCCATATCAGTTCTCAAATTTGTGTCAGCTGATTCTTTTGGACTAGCTGCAGTGTGCAGTGGGAATCCATATTTGGCTTTTTTTTTTTTTTTTGGAGCCCCCTATAAATGCTATAATGATGGAGAGTTTGCGCTTCATTCCTCCGCTCAGCGACTTTGACAATTCATTACGCTTTTCTAGCAGGTTAAAAGTAGTCAGCATGTGGTCAATTTCCGCACGAGTCATCTTTCCATGTACTCCTTTTATCTAGAAAGAGGAGCCAGAGTTTACATGGCACTTCAATTTTATTCTTAGAAACATATTACACCAGACTTTTTTCTATCATTCATGTAGTAACTTATTCCCTTTGCTTCTTTTTATGTTTAAAGAAGAATTCATCAAAATCGATTTTGAACTTTCTAAGAATAAGGATATTCACAGTAGCTAATCTACCTGAAGCACATGAACAGACTGGGAGAAAAGGAATTTATCTTTTGCTCACCCCACAGTAGAAATGAAGGTGTTCCGATACTGTCAAGTAATTAAACAACAGGTTCTGCTGGGGACACAAGCCCAGCGATTTCCTAATGTGGACCATGTGCTTTGAGATATCATATCCGTTAATATAGGCCTTTCCACTTGTAGGAGGATAGAGACCTAGAATCAAGGAGAAAACATAACAGAAACTTAATTTTCATAAGAGAACATGACAACAAAGTACTTATTAGCATCTCAACTTTGAAATCTACATATGCATAACTCATTAGCATTAGCAATATTTCACAGCAAAGACAATTCTACAAATCATTGACAGTTATTTTTGAGGTGATGAACTTAGAAGTAATTTATTTTGTATTTTCCTGTTTAACTGTATGTTCTGTTTCAATGTAGATGAATAAGTGCAAATCATCTGAATAATAAAAAGCACGAGAGTGTTATATTACAACATACCAGGATTGCCATCAGCCATTTGACATTTATGAATTCTGTTTTAAGCTGTACATTGCTTTAAGGTTTATATGGTAAGCGCCAGGACAATTACTAAGAAAATAAAACTATATAGTGAGAAAAATCATTAAAGGAATTAAAATGTTACACTAAAAAATATTCACTGAGTGCAGGCCAGGTACAGTGGTTCATACCTGTAATCCCAACACTTTGGGAGGCTGACACGGGTGGATCACTTGAGCTCAAGAGTTCGAGACTAGCCTGGGAAACATGGCAAAACCCTGTCTCTATTAAAAATACAAAAACTAGCTGGGCATGGTGGCACGTGCCTGTAAACCCAGCTACTTGGGAGGCTGAAACACGAGAATCGCTTGAACCCAGGAGGTGAAGGTTGCAGTGAGCTGAGACTGTGCTACTGCACTCCAGCCTGGGTGACAGAATGAAACTGTTTAAAAAAAATGTACTTAATGCAAAAATAAATAAATAAATAAGAGAGAAATAGAGGAACAAAAAATACATGAGACATAGAAAACCAAAAGTAAAATGACAGACAATAAAAAAATATGATCCAACTCTATGCTATCTGCAGAAGACACACTTCAGACTCAATGACATAAATCGGCTGAAAGTAGATAGATGGAAAAAGATGTATTTATTATGCAAGAATATTTTCCTGAATACATGTTTCTTCATTTGCCAAATGCCCTTAGAGAATTTTCAGAGTCGCCCTTAGAGAATTTTCAGAGTCTTTAAATGATTAGGTATTTTGTCAATTTTTACAGCTTTGCTTGTTTCATTAGGGTATGCACCTGATGATCCAAAAGTGGAATATTATTATTTTATTGCTTAAATATTCAATGGTCTAAAGAAATGTTTACATATAAGAATTTTTAAATTCCCATATATATGATCTCAACACTTTCATAATCTCTGGTGCTCTTCATTTCTTCTTGCCAACCTGAGTTTCATTCTGGAATAATTTCCTTTCTGCCTGAAAAACTGCCTTTCTTGGCTTTCTCCACTCCTTTCTGGGGACAGTCCACAATATAATATATCTTAGCAATTGCCCATGGGTGGTTGAAAAAAATGAGTATTCTGCTGAGTAGAATTTTCCATAAATGTCAATTAGATGCTGTTGATTAACAGTGTTGCCAAGTTTTTCAGTAACTTTAATAATTTCTGTTTACTGGGTCTATCAATAGCTAAAAGAGTGGAATCTCCAACTGTAATTGCAAATGTATCTATTTCTTTTTTCAAGTCTATCAGTTTTTGCTTTGAGCATTTTGATGCCCTGTTCTTTGAATTCAAATTAAGAATTGCTATGTTTTCTTGGTAGATTAACCTTTTTATAACTATGTAATGTCCTTTTCCATCTTCCCCAAAATAAATACTAATTTTTAAATTTTATAATAGTTATTTTCAAACTTCAAAATAGATTATTAAAGCACATATCTCAGAAGTCACTATGCTGTAAACATCAAGAGGATACATGAATGTCTCATTGCTTTATCTACTGTTTTTTGAACAGAGTGGAACACCTACCTGAGAGAATGGATAGAGTAGTAGATTTTCCTGCCCCATTATGTCCTAGAAGAACAGTGATCTGCCCCTCATATAAATTCAAAGACAAGTCCTTTACAGCTATTTTGGTAGTGTTGTGCCCTTGGAATACCTATGGGAAAAATCCCACAAATACTAACTTTATCACAATCACATTGAAAGAACAAGCTCTCATATCAACTATCAAAGACACAATACATCATCAGGCATGAGAAGAAATATCAAAGTGTAAAAGAATGAAACTAAGAAAATAAATATTCAAAGACATAACATAAGGTTTAGAATTTCACAGTAGATATACAAACATTCCCTGAGCAATCTTATCCATTCCTGCTCTCTTTTTTATGTGTATAAACTTAAGGGGTATAGGTCCCATTTTGTTACATGGATATATTGTATAGTGGTAAGGTCTGGGCTTTTAATATAACCATGACCCAAATAACAAACACTGTATCAAGTGAGTTTTTCATCTCTCATGCATCTCCCACACTCTCACCCTTTCGAGTCTCCAATGGTTGTCATTTCACACTGTATGTACATGTATATACATTGTTTAGCTCTCACTAATAAGTGAGAACATGTGGTATTTGACTTTCTGTTTCCAGGTTGTTCCACTCAAGATAATGGTCTCCAGTTCCAACCATGTTACTGCAAAATACATGATTTCATTCTTTTTTATGGCCGTGTATATATACCAATTATTTCTTTATCCAATCATCTGTTTATTCAATGGATGATTGCTTTGTTTCAATTTCCATCTTGAACTTACAATGCCACAGTCTTCAATGAATTAGTGTCTTCGGTCTAATTTAGAGAACTGTCAATTGAAAATCACATGTGGATATTTATCTTAAATTTCTGAAGACTATCAGTGCTTCTGCTTAATATACAAAAAGTTGGAAAAAGAATCACTCCTACTCTGGCAACAAGTAGAAGCCAAATAATCTGCAAAATTATAACTTTTCTTGAACCCATCTTAGAGGTAAGTTTCCCAGGACACCAAGTAGCCTAAAATTTAAAAGAAAAATAGATACTTTCAAGGAGAGATGGCATATTGATATTTACTTGTCTGGAGCAGACATGGGTACTTAAGAGCCAACATGAGTGCTTATACAAGCTACTAAGAAGATTTTGGTTAGATTTTTAATAAAAATGAAGTGAAAACAGTTAAAGAAACACCATACTTAAATCGAAGAGTTGGGATTCAAGCCCATATCATTAAGAATTAAAGTGTATTTTCCTTCCAACACAACCTATAGATGGTGAATAAAGGCAAATGTCTTGTGTAATAGAAAATAAATACTATTTAATTTTTAAAATCCCAAATGGTGGTAGGTATTTTCTCCCTAAGTGTCTTATACTGTCTTCTCCATAGACCTAAGCATCAGGCTTGTAAATGCTTGTTTGAAATCTCTACTTGGACGAACATCTAAAGTTCCTATATCCAAAAGTGAGCTCTGAATTTCCCAAACCTTCACTTAAAAACCAACAATAAACTAACCAAACTGTGACCTTTCCCCAGTATCTCCAATATCCATAATTGTTCGATTAACCTCCCGCCCCCGCATTTCCTTAAGCCACAAAACCAACAGCCACATTAGTTTCTTCCTTTCCCCACAATCTCATATCCAACCTATACATAAATATTCATTTATAACCATAAAACATGTTTTGCATCTTTTTTTTTTTTTTTTGAGACGGAGTCTCACTTTGTCGCCCATTGCTGGAGTGCAATAGCATGGTCTTGGCTCACTGCAACTTCCACTCCCAGGTTCAAACCATTCTCCTGTCTGAGGCTCTGGAGTAGCTGGGATTACAGAAGCCTGCCACCACACTCAGCTAATTTTTGTATTTTTAGTACTGACAGGGTTTTATCATGTTGGCCAGGCTGGTCTCGAACCCAAAGTGCTGGGATTTACCATACCTGGCCTGTTTTGAATCTTTATACTGCGATCTCCAATGCCATCAGCCTAGTCCATGGTGCCATCGTATCCTACCTGAGCTACTATCAAAGCTTCCAATTTGTCTTCTTTCTTTCACTCATAGTCCTCACAGCAGCCAAAGAGGTCCTGCTTGTCCAGTTGTACACTGGCACCACTTTTGATTCAAAACATAATGAACATATGAAGCTCCTTCCAACCCCAGGGTTTTGATTTTTTTCTGTCTGAATTTTTGTCCCTAGTTTTTCTTTTTTGTTTTGGGACAGAATCTATCTCTGTCACCCAGGCTGGAGTGCAGTGGCACAATCTCAGCTCACTGAACCTCTGTCCCCAGAGGCTCAGTGGCAGGCGCCTATAATCCCAGCTACTTGGGAGGCTGAGGCAATTCTCCTGCCTCAGCCTCCCAAGTAGCTGGGATTACAGGTGCCCGCCACCATGCCCAGCCAATTTTGTATTATAGTAGAGACAGGTTCACCATGTTGGCCAGGCTGGTCTCAAATTCCTGACCTCAGGTGACCCACCTGTCTCGGCCTCCCAAAAGGCTGGGATTACAGGCGTGAGCCATCACACACTGCCTGTCCCTAGTTTTTCAACAATCTGGTTCATTCTTATCTAGTCTCAGCTCCAAGGAGACTGTTTCAGGTTTGAGTTTCTAGGCAACAGTTCTCAATTAGAAGATTAGAATGTAGTATGAAAGTTGTCCAAATCAATACGAGGTCACTTCTGTTAAAAAAACAAAAAACAAACAAAAACCTTAATAAATACATCTAGAGAAGGCCATGAAGAGAGAGTTCTCATGCACAAATGCCTGATAACAAGAGCTATCACAAAAGGCTCTGCAGAAACCACAACCTGGCAGCTGGGCGCAGTGGCTCACATCTGTAACCCCAGAACTTTA